AAGAGCATTAAACAAATGCAAAGATGGGTGTATTGCTCATGACTAAAATTACAGGCCTCTCTCATCTTTTTAAGTGGGAGAACTTGCACAATTGGTGGCTGACTAAATACTTTTTTGCCCCACTGTACATGCCGGTTGATTAATGCAACAGTACAATGTTCTCTTAGCATACACGGTGAGAGAATGTAAACTTCCTCAGCCCTATGTATTGGGATGATGGAGGCACATTTTGGTATCAAAGGGGAGGGGAAAGAGGTGATAAAGGTAACAGTCTTGGCCATATGCATAGCCAGTTATTGCAGATCCTCAAGATGGTACCTACAAAATCTCCTGTGGCACCATGTTTAGCACCATGTGCTAAAATTCTGCACTTTCCTAAGGCTGGTCTTTGTTAACAGCTTTCAGATGGGGGGTTTACATGGCCCAGGTCTGGGCCAATCCCACCACCTGGCCATTAATAGTCACAAAGGACATGCAGGGACTAACAGGATTAATATGGAATAAAGTGTGCAAAAAAGCAATTGTTGTGCAGAACACAATGGTACGTGCTGCATTATAGGGACTAGACTCATGAACTCTTTCCTGCCTTCCTTTCTTCCAGAGTGACAGAACTACATTCTACCTTCACAAATATACAAGGATGACTTTATTTTCTTCATAAGTTGCTGCAAGTAAGCAATATGTACCGGTCTCCAGAAAGTCTAATTACGTCACTAGACTTTCCTCTTTTTCTCTCTAGTATTTGCTTTTCCCTACTCTCTGGCTACGCACATCACCTGTTTGCCTTTGCCTTTCCTTTAGTTTTCTTCTCCTTAAAGAGCCAAGATGAGGGAAGCTTGCTCCTCCTTTTACATCTCCACAGCTTTACAGCTGTGACAAATCCCTTTTCCTGTCTGCTGAGAGCTCGTGACCTCTGAAGGCCATGCCTCTACCAGATGTGTCATTCTCCTGCTTCCCTCTCTTTGGCAATGCAAAGCTGGATCCGTAATGCAGACCAAACATATGACAGGGTTATGGCCTTCAGGTCCAGTTATAAGATTTACATAGGGATCTGGTTGGCCACTATACTAAATAGGGACATTGAACTACTCTAGTTGGCAAAATTTTTCTTACATTTCTTAGATAATATTTCTATGGTCACACATTGCCTCAACAATATGTTCCCCCATCTGTTTAGCACTGAATCAACCATCTAGGCAAGGTCTTCAAACTTTAGTGTCTTACCCTCCTCTCAAGACATTTCCTTAAAATGGGGGGGGGGGGATCATGATAGATATATTTCAGGGTGTGGAGCTAAACTCAGTTCTACTCCAGTAGCCTCAAAATGCCATGGTCATTTTTTAAGACAAAAAAAATCCATGACAAAATTCAGATAAAGATTCTGAAGGCCCATTTGCCAACTCTTTTGCCACATCAGAAAGTAATTCTGGATCAAAACACCTCTCTTCAGGAAATGGATACAAAACACACTAGATTCCTAAGGTGGACCTAATCCAGCCTTACACACTAGTGACCCCTACTTCTACCATTTGAGAACTGCATCTACAACTCAGGGGAAAAACAAGTTACAAGCCATTGTCACTTAACATTTGGTGGACTGATGCATGGCATTATAGGGCAGCTTTTTCATTTGTATTCTGCTACTTTTTTCCTTAAGCAAATGTCCACCAAAATAAATGTCTACTAAAAAACACAGGGTTGCCATGTTATCCCCAAGCAATCATATCATTTATTTTTCCAAGGCAAGGAGGAAACTATTTTGATTGGGACATGAAATATGACTATGAAATATGAAAGATCAGCACTGTACCCTTGCAAAAGGCAGTTACGTAGTCTGAGGGTAAAGTTTTAGCCATAGCTTTTGAAGGTCAAGAAGTTTCTATGCCCTACAAGGCTTTTCACGTAAGTTTTCATATGAGTTTTGGAACTCATGGATTGGATACAACTCCTGAGCAAAAATTACTTGATCAATTAACAGTACTCTAGTTAATATATAGTACACAAGGATGCCCTTTAATGACAGCTCAGAAATTGCAGCTTTGCAGCTACACCAAAGTAGAATCCATCTTCTGATTGCTTCTTCAAATTTAGAAAGCCCTAAATGGCATAGAATCTAGGAACGTTAAGGGCTACCTTCTTTTACACAAGCTGGTCAGTGTATTAAGATCAACCTGAAAGTTTCTTTCCAGGTCTCACTGCAGCTAAAATAAGATGGGCAGGAAGACAGTGCCTGAAGATAGGATATTTTCAGGAATGGCACCCTGACTTTGGAATTCTGTCCCCAAAGAGGTTTTCTTAATGAGTTCGATATCTTTGGGCATGAAATGTAATCACACATACCAAGAACAGTTGAAGAAAGACTTCTATTGCTCTTTAAAAAAATTGTACAATTCTTAAAAGACCACACCCTGAAGTTACATTGCAGTTTCCCATTTCCATTCTAGAATTAAAACCATTCATGGTATTAGAGGAATGATCAGTTTGTCATCTCCCTCCCTCATTCTTACTCATCACTCATGTATGCAAACAAAGTATTTTCGCTTTTTGCTCAAAGGAAAGAGGCAGACATCCCTATTAGAAATGGACTGAATTGATATTTCAAACAATACTAAAAAACTTCACACAATTTTACCAATCAACAAAGACACAACAATTACATTGAATAACATTTCCTTTCATACTAGACTTAAATTTTGTGGTTTTTTTCAAAGGCAATAGAGCATATTAGAATTTTTCTTAGGAAACATTTGCCCAAGGACCCACAAGAAGTCTATGCAAATGCACATCTCAATGCATGCATCGACATGTACTTTTTCACCTAAATAAAGATGCATATAAAATGTGGCTATTTCTAGCCCTCTTCTCCTTCAGAAAAGTTACTCCCAAAAGTAATAGATTCAGTTGTGACTGTGTTGTTTTTATTTTTTAAGTGTTGTTTTTATTTTTTAGAAGTTCTTTTTAAAACAAATGCTTGAATAACTATTCGGTTCTTCATATCACAGAATGTTATATCTTTTCTAGCAGAAAATCAGCTTCTTTTTATATCTGTTGCTCTACCTGTAACCTGCATTAAAGAAAGAGATGTAAGTTGGTTTGGTTCTCACTTTCAGAACCAAATAATTCTTCATGAGACAGTACAATTAATTAAATTAATTTGAATTTATATTTCAATGGGCATCAAATACTTTCTCAATATTTAATTGCAGATACCTCTGGACTTCAGTACTGACTACAGAGCATCTCCTTCACCATTTGAGCTCTGGCTCCCTTTTCCCTCATACAGATCCTCAAGCATGATAGGATAGGCAGTGTTATACAAAGAACAGCATTACTTACATCATATTGCTGAGGGAAATTGCGGATAGAAGGCAAGGGTCGGACAGATACCCACTTTTTTTTTGCTTTGGACATCACTAGCAGGACACGGCGTTCCTTGGTCCAACTGGAGGAAGCACGTTGTAGAGAACAGACAAGCAGAAAACAAATGTTATGAAAACGTTACGTCACCATAACAGAACTTTAAAAGTGATTATTATTACTAAGCTCAGCTTTCATAGCAACCAAAGAAGGGTCCAAATGGGTGAACCATAATCCCACAGAGGAAAATGTTATGACAGCGGGAGCATACGCTTATCATCAATGTAAACTGAACAAAGAAATTGCAGCAGCACATAAGCTGTGGGCAGCCTATCTAGTCATGAATATTTATATACTGCACTAAAAAATAAAACCGAGCAGTTATTTCAATATATGATAGCAAAATAACGGCAGGAGGAAGTTCCACATCACAGTGAGAGGAGAAAACAGAGCAGGAAAAGGTACCTACCAGTGGTGTGCTTTGGCACTACAGTATTTGAGGTCTTTGTCTGGTTCCACAACTTGCCCATTTCTCCAACACTGGCCACACACAAATTTCATCTGGAGGTCAAAAGTGTTGGAAGTGGGAGTTCTGACAGAAGCCTAAAATCAGGAAGGAGGGAGAAGCAAAGTTAACTGAGAAACCTGTGTTTTAAGATAATTCGTCATGTGTATGTTCTTTTATAAAAAAGGGCAAACAACAAAACATGGCTATAAAAAATCCAAACAATTAGATAAGAATCCTTGTTGATAATTTCCCATCATCACCAAGTGAGAAGCTGAAAGAAGACTGTACATACAGGACTGAAAATAGAAACTCACAGAATCACCTATGTACAGTATGTGTGTATGCATGTATGTGAACACACACACACACAGGGCAAATCTACTCTCTGTTCTCTAATAAACTAAGAAGCCATCTGCTTCTGCTTTCCCAATAATGCAGGATACAAGAAAGTTGATGGCACAATGTGGTGCTTATAGTACTTTCATGATCCTGATGCTAAAATTACAACTGAATCACTCACTAGATGTTTCCATTTTTTAGACAGTTCAGGGCTGTACAATTCTTGTCATAGCATATGGTCTGGAGTGGCAGAATAGCCTGCACAATATTATCTTAAGAAAAATACATACGTGCGGCTCTTTTTATTTAATTTATTTATTTATAAAAACTTATATAGCTGCTCATATTGTAACAACAATCCTGGGTGGCTCATAAAGTAGTAAAAACAGCAGAATCCCCCAAGCCATCAAATACAAATCAATTTTAAAAAACTCTATTAAAACTCTATAAAAAAACCTATGGCACCCAGGGCAGCACTCTCCCATATATCCACACACTATCTTGCTGGGCTCCAGCCTCATCCCACCCCAACACTTGTGGGAAGAGCCAGATCTTCAAGGCCTTCTAGAAAGCAAGGAAAGTGGGGGTCTATTAGATCTCTGGGGGAAGAGTATTCCACAGGGCAAGTGCAGCTACAGAGAAGGTACACTTTTGAGAAGAAAAAAAGGTAAATTCTCCTTCAAGTCAAGCTTAACTCCTAGTAATTTCATGGGTCCATCTTTTCATTTTGTTGACAGAATAGTTTACTACTGCCTTCTTTGGGGATTTTTTCCAAATCCTAGTCTAGCTCTAGAGGCTGCCCATTCAGGTACTAAACAAAGCCAACCCTGCTTAGCTTCTGAGCACAAACAAGGTCAGCCTTATAACAAGCTTTCCCAAATTGCACTCTTGACATACAGTGGGGCAAAAAAGTATTTAGTCAGCCACCAATTGTGCAAGTTCTCCCA